CCCACTTTCCATTCCCATGGTCTCCTGTGTCTGTGATTCACCAGCCCTGCTCCCACTCCCCTCCCCGGACAATGGAAGCCATCAGTAGGTTCAGAGAATGTGCGTAGCCTCTAAAGCTGGTGAGCCCATCTCTGCTGCCTCAGGCCTTGGCACCTTCTTCTCTGTCCATCTGCCAGTGGGACAGGTTTTCCTGAGTTTTCCACTGACCCCTCCAACTCCTGATGTGCGAAATGGAACCCCTGCCCTGTCTGTGTACATCACAGTCACTCCTGAGTTGTGGGACTAGAAACCAGGCAGCCTGTCAGCCAGAGAAGCCAAGTGATTGTGAGGGAGGAGGAGATGCAGGGTGAGGAGCGCTGCATTTGCAGGTGAGATGACACCAAGGGTGACCAGACAGTGTCTGGTGTTGGGGGGGGCAAGAGCCCGTGGGCAGGAGGGAAGTGAGGAGGGGAACTGGGAGGAGACGGGAGGATGCTGTGTGCTCCTCAGGAGCACATGTGGAGGGAGAGAGGCCCAGAGAGGGTCAAGGATGGCCAAGGATGGGGACGGGGGAGTGGACACCTCCACCAACAGGGGGAGAACAGTTAGCGAGGCTTCCATTCCTGTCCTTTTCCTTGATATCTATTACAGAAATCTCGACCTTTACAGCAGAAGGTTGAAATCTTCATGGCTCCTAGATGGAAACTTACAGGTAGGCAATGATCAGAGCAGTCCAGTTCAGTGTGGTTGTAGCGCCACCCATCTGGAAGAGAAGGACGTTCATACTCAGCGTCAGAGAGCAATAGTTGGAGCTCAAAGTAAGAGGACTTTCCCCAACCATGCCCAGCCTGGCTTCTAGACTAGGGGCACACCCACCTCCCAGCAAAGCTCCCTCAGACTGGAGGGCCCCTCCACAGTTTCAGGAGGCAGGCGCCAGCTCAAGCCAGTAGAGCCTGGCTCGACAGCATTACCTCGCTCCGTGAAAATGAAGAAATCTCTGGTTCTGCAGCCAGGACCTTGTTCCATGGTGCAATTGCCCTTGCCCCTCAAACAATGACCTCTCTTAAAATTGTTGCAGACCATGCATAATGTGGCTGGACCTGTGGAAAAGAGACATGAAGGTTAATCCTAGGGTTGAATGGATTGAGACAAAGGTGTGCTAGGATACTGGTAGGAATGAAGAGTTCAAGGGGAAACCATGACCCTAAACACTTCTTCCAATATACTCTTAAGGCTTGGAAATGCTCCCCTATTGGATTAAGTCCACTGATTCTTTTTTTTAAAGATTCTATTTATTTATTCATGAGAAACAGAGAGAGAGACAGAGAGAGAGAGAGAGAGAGAGGCAGAGGGAGAAGCAGGTTCCTAAGGAGCGGGGAGCCTGATATGGGACTCCATCCCAGGACCTGGGATCATGACCTGAGCCGAAGGCAGACACTTAACCATCTGAGCCACCCAGGTGCCCAAGTCCATTGATTCTTTAAGATTATGGGCCTTTGACACAGGCATCTTGATTCCTTTAAAAATAAAGTGAAAGGGCTTAGTTATGGTGTTCTTATGCAGAACTCAATGAGAACATCTACACAGAGCTGCCTGAGGCTAGGAATCTATTAGAAAATGATAGGACATAAGGACTGTAGAGGCTCCAAAGTAGGGATGCAGTCTTACAAAATTTCCTACCGTACCTCCCTGTAAAAGTCATATGATGCCCAAACACATCCACGTGGCAACAATGCACTTGCTATGGCAATACTGGTTCAGCATAAGCCATTCAATGACTTGTTCCTTCTAGAACACTACTTTAGGCTGCTTCTTTATAGAAAGTCTCGAGGTACCGTTGGCTCTGCTCCTTAGGGCCATCCCAGCCAGCCCCAAGGCTCTAAAGCGGGAAGAGCCCTTGGCCCCAATCTGCCCCAAGGGAGTGACTGACTCCACGCTGAGATCTTAGGAAGGGACCTGAACTCTTTCCCTGGGAGTAGTCGGGGTGGGGACAGCAGACAGAGACCTTAAACCCTTGGGGGGTGCAGATCATCCCAGAACCTCATCCTTAACCCTGTTCCCTCCCAGCCAGCTCAGGCCACCACCCTGGGGCTGCTCCCTCACCCCTGCCCGGCCGCCCCAGGGCCTCACCCACTCCTTGGAAGAACACAAAAGGGAAGACTGCCAGCAGCAGGAGCAGGAGCAGGGACTTGTCCATCTCAGTTTGGGACGGCAGCAAGATGCACAGGCTGGCTGGAGAAGGAAGCAGACTGCCCAGCAAGGGCGAGGACAGATTGTTCTAGAACCTGGACTTGACTGCTCCCAAGCTGTGGGCAGAAGCTTCCTTTTGTGTACCCACCAAGGCAGGTTTCACCACCGCCCAGGCCCAGGAAAGGCTCCCACAGACCTAGCCCCATTGGATACTTCCAAGGACAGAGGATGTCCCACGTGCCCCTCCTGTTCCCTTGAGACTGCCTCTGGCTGAGCGGGGGAGCTGCTGCTTGGCTGGATCTGCTGGGCCCTCAGCAGTCCCTGCCCCTTCACTCTCTGGACATCCCACTGTGCCAGGTCCAAGACAGGGGCTTATGTGGGCAGGGCTTTGCTAACTACCCATTTCCTCTGCGTCCAAAGTCCCGTATAACCACCTCCCCACCAGTTCCATGGCCCAAGCCAGTCTTCAGCCTGGTGGACACCCTGCTTCAGGCCTCAGGTTGTGTTCATCACAGGCGTGGTCCGTACCTTCTTCTGTCCCTTCCCTCTCCCTATGTTGTGCTCATAGTTAGGCCCCTCTCAAAACTGAATCAGTGTTGACAGTGGTGGGGATAGTCATAATAGCAAATATTTACTCAGTTGAAAAGGGGATGAGGAAGGAGTAGAAAACAGGGAAACAGGTACAAACTTCCATTTATAAAATAAGTAAGTGATGGGGATGTCATGTACAGCATGGTGATGACAGTTAATAACAGTATTGTATATTTGAAAATTGCCAAGAAAGTAAATCTTAAAAGTTCTCATCACAAAGAGAAAAAACTTTTTGTAACCAGGTAAGGTGACAGATGTTGACTAGACTTATGGTGATCATTTCACAATATATATAAATATCGAATCATATGGTATACACCTGTTCTGTGCTGGTCTCAGCCTATCAATCAATAACCAATAGTGTGGTTGGCCCATCCCTTATAACTGCAAAATACCCTTCAGCAGCAACCATCAGGGAACTTTGAAAAAAATAGGTTGATTACTTACAAGACCTGGACATGACACAACATACCTGGGGCCACACAGTGAGGGTGGGGGTGGGGGAGGCGAGCGCATGCACATGTCTGCTTTTCTTGAGGTTGACTGTGGGGTTAGGGTTTATTGGTAAGTTAAAACATAAGAATAGGAGATTGAAGTGCGGGAAGAGGAAAAAAACAAGTGTCACAAACAGTCAGTTATCAAAATCAACCAAGATCTCTTTTTTTAAAAAAACATTTTTTAATTTAAATTCAATTAATTAACATATAATGTATTATTGGTTTCAGAAGTATAGGCCTGTGATTCATCAGTCTTATATAATACCCAGTGCTCATTACATCATGTGCCCTCCTTAATGTCCATCACCCACCCCATTCCCCTCCCCTCCAACAACCCTCAGTTTGTTCCCTATGATTAAGACTTTCTTATAGTTTATCTCCCTCTCTGATTTCATCTTGTTTTATTTTTCCTCTCTTCCCCGATGATCCTATGTTTTGTTTCTTAAATTTCACATATCAGTGAGATCATGATACTTGTCTTTCTCTGACTGACATATTTCGCTTAGCATAATACACTCTAGTTCCAACCACGTCGTTGCAAATGGCAAGATTTCATTTTTTTGATGCCTGCATGGTATTCCATGGTTTATATACCACATCTTCTTTATCCATCCATCTGTCAATGGACATCTGGGCTCTTTCCATGGTTTGGCTATTGTGGACAATGCTGCTGTAAACATTGGGGTGCAGGTGCCCCTTTGGATCACTACATTTGTATCTTTGGAGTAAATACCCAGTAGTGCAACTGCTGGATCATAGGGGTAGCTCTATTTTCAACTTTTTGAGGAACATCCATACTGTTTTCCAGAGTGGCTGCACCAGCTTGCATTCCCACCAACAGTGTAAGAGGGTTCCCCTTTCTCCACATCTTCGCCAACATCTGTCATTTCCTGACTTGTTAATTTTAGCCATTCTGACTGGTGTGAGGTGGTATCTCGTGGTTTTGATTTGTATTTCTCTGATGCTGAGTGATGTGGAGCATTTTTTCATGTGTCTGTTGGCCGTTTGGATGTCTGCTTTGGAGAAATGTCTGTTCATGTCTTCTGCCCATTTCTTGACTGAATTATTTGTTTTTTGGGTGTTGAGTTTGATAAGTTCTTTATATATTGTGCATACTAGTCCTTTATCTGATAAGACATTTGCAAATATTTTCTCCCATTCTGTCGGTTGTCTTTGATTTGTCGACTATTTCCTTTGCTGTGCAAAAGCTTTTTATCTTGATGAAGTGCCAATAGTTCATTTTTGCCTTTGTTTCCCTTGCCTTTGGAGATGTGCCTAGCAAGAAGTTGCTGTGGCTGAGGTCAAAGAGGTTGCTGTCTGTGTTGTCCTCTAGGATTTTGATGGACTCTTGTCTCACATTTAGGTCTTTCATCCATTTTGAGTCTGCTTTTGTGTGTGGTGTAAGGAAATGGTCCAGTTTCATTCTTCTGCATGTGGCTGTCCAATTTTCCCAACATCATTTGTTGAAGAGACTGTCTTTTTTCCTTTGGACATTCTTTCCTGCTTTGTTGAAGATTAGTTGACCATATTGTTGAGGGCCCATTTCTGAGCTCTCTATTCTCTTCCATTGATCTATATGTCTGTTTTTGTGCCAGTACCATACTGTCTTGAGGATTACAGCTTTGTAATAGAGCTTGAAGTCCAGAATTGTGATGCCACCAATTTGGTTTTCTTTTTCAACATTCCTTTGGCTATTCGGGGTCTTTTCTGGTTCTGTACAAATTTTAGGATTATTTGTTTTTCAGCTCTGTGAAAAAAGTTGATGGTATTTTGATAGGGATTGCATTGAATGTGTAGATTGCTCTAGGCAGCATAGACATTTTCACAATATTTGTTCTTCCATTCCATGAGTATGAACGTTTTTCCATTTCTTTGTGTCTTCCGCAATTTCTTTCATGGGTATTTTATAGTTTTCTGAGTACAGATCTTTTGCTTCTTTTTAGGTTTATTCCTAGGTATCTTATGGTTTGGGGTGCAATTGTAAATGGGATCTACTCCTTAATTTCTCTTTCTTCTGTCTCACTGTTGGTGTATAGAAATGCAACTGATTTCTGTGCACTGATTTTATATCCTGCCACTTTGCTGAATTCCTTTATGAGTTCTAGCAATCTTGGGGTGGAGTCTTTTGGGTTTTCTACATAGATTGTCATGTCATCTGCAAAGATGAGAGTTTGACTTCTTCTTTGCTGATTTGGATGCCTTTTATTTCTTTTTGGTGTCTGACTGCTGAGGCTAGGACTTCCAGTACTATGTTGAACAGCAGTGAAAATGAACCAAGATCTCTGACACAGAAGAGTCTCAGTGGAGGCAGGAGGCCAGGCTTTTGATATGGTATATGGCTGGCTATGTGTTTATTCCAGATGAAATGCCTCCTTGAAATGGATGCCTTGGCCATCAAAACTTAAGTCAGGCACTTGAGTTACAAAAAAAAAAAAAAATGAAAAATGAAAACAAAAAACCCCAGAAAAACAAATATGTTATATGCCAATTATATTTCCATTTTAAAAAATAATTTAAAAAGAAAATGGGGAAAACAAATTTTAAACAAATCATTAGAACTGTCAAAGAGCAGCTTTGTTCTTCCGTAGCATTGTTTTACTGAAAACATGCTGTTCTGTGCAAACTTGAAGAATGTCACGAGGATGATGCCTAATGTGATAGGACACATGGTTGGAAAAGGACATGGTATCACCTGGGGAATCAAGGCAAAGAGAGTGAACACAGAAAATAATGATCTGGTCAGACCTCCTTGTTGAAACTTATGCTCCTTGAACATCCTGCTGGTGCTTCCTAAGGAGAGGATTGTGGAATTCCTGTCGAATGATGTACCTGTTCTGTGTAGCTTGTTGACAATAAACGAACCTTCTTTTAAAGATTTAGGGGGATGCGGCCCCACTGGAAATTGTCCATGGCTGCTATAGAATGACAGTAAAATACAATGGAAGTGGTAACTGACTGCGAAGTCCCACTTGTATATCTGGGACCAGCCAGCAATCAGGTGGAGACCTCACAGGCTCAGTCTGTACCAGTAAAGGGTGTGATCACCTGACAGAAGAATCTACCACCCTAGATTCCTGGATGGCCTTCCTTCATCTGCTCTTTCAGTCAAGCTTCCTCAATGCCACCCTGTCATGTCTCTCCCTCAGGTGCACAGGAAGGTTATCTGACATGGTGGAATTGTGCTGGATGGCACATGCATGTCGCTGAATGATGTGTTATGGATGTTTCCTGGCTTTTTAGGAGAGGAGACGTCAGAGGTCCATTAAAGATTGAGAGCTTGACAGATGTCACATATTAAATTTATCTGAGCTCATAAGGGCCTCCCTCCATACTCCTGAAGTTGGGAAAGAGCCTAATTCATGACTTCAGTCCAAGCTTACTTACTAAATTATTCCTTTTACTCCCAATGTGCCCCAGTCTGGAGGATAAATTATGCAACCAGCCTACTCAGAGGTGACCAGGCACAATCTCTCACCCAGTGCAGGAACCTCCTCCTCTGCAGCATCCAGACAGCCGGCATCCAGAACCACCACACTTCCAGGCCCACGTCAGTCCCCATCAGATCTTCCTGTCATGTGTCTAGGCTGAGACCCAACAGGGGAGTGCCTTGGCCAGAGCACAGACTCAGAAGTCAGACCCATCTGGGTTTGAAGCCTCATTCCAACACCAACCCTGGCTAGTTATTACTCTATAATCCCTCAATTTCCTCATTGAGGAAATAGGAACTATAATAGCACTTACGTCATTATGTTACTGGTTCAATTCTTCCTATTAACTTTCTGTTCAATTATTCACTAAAGAATCCAGTTAAGGAAAATTTAATTTAATAATCAGTACTAGGAAATATCACAAGCTTATAGTTAGTGACGCCTAGTCTCTGCCTGTGCGGTCAGCAGTCCTAACTTCACTCCCAGCACACACACACTGACACACACATTCCTCCATATGGACATGCCCTTCCCCTCCCCCAACAGCACACAAAGGCCACAGCTACCTTGCCTCTCCCAAAGGCAGGCCGAGTCCCTGATCCACCATCTCCCATCACGT